CCCTGTACTGAGGGCTGCCTAAGCACCCCTCAGAGTCGGAAATATGGGAGGTAGCCAGCTCTCTATAGAGCCACATTTGATCCTTTTCCCAGCCAGGAGGATTCTCCACAGAAGCCCTATACAGATGTTTGAGACTCGTACTTACTTACGATGAGCAGAGGGGAGCACTGCAGCTCACCCGTTTCTGGTGCCATTGCTCTTCTACACATGAAGAGAAATGTGTCTGAGGAGAAAAGCTCCTGCTATCTGTGGCAGTTCTCCACAATGAATTAAGACCCTGGAAAATCAGCATCCCAAGTCAGAATGTAGGAATTCATGTCTTCAGACATGTCTCTCAAAAAATGGTACTGGAGATAGAGAACTATGGGGCTCTTCCTCAGCAGGTCCAAAATGCAACAGCCAGACTGATCATAGATATGAACACATACCCTCAGTCTTGGTCCCTTGGCAGTTTCCATGCTCAATTCAAGGTGCTATTCATGACCCAGAAGGCCCGTAACACTTTAGGACCTCTATATTGTTGGAACGTCTCTCCTACAAAGCAGCTACCTGTCCCACGCTCTCCTAACAGTCCATGAAGTTAAATATTGTGATACCTAAGGAGGCCAAAAGAGTTAATGCCAGGAACCTTATTTTTTATTTTTATTTTTGGTCATGGCCTCTTTCCTTTCAAACAAGCTTACAACAGAGGATTGTCAGGTGCTTTCCCTCTCCGTTTTAAAGAAATTAGTAAAAATAGTATTATTTATGGCCACCTTTTATTAGTGCTTTTACTATCTGAGTTGTTCAAGTCTGTTTTAATTTCTTTAGTTTTATTTTAAACATAGGTTTTAGACAGTGACGGGGTTTTAGTTATTTTATGGTATTTATTGTATGATATTTTGTATCATTCATTATATATGATTTAACATGTTGTCAACTGCTCAGAGAGAATGTGCACTACGGGGCAGTATAAAAGTTAAACAAACAAACCAACAAATAAGTACCCACAGTGAATGAACATGAGTTCTAATTATTGATTTTCTGTAAATTATTTATATGTCACCTTTCTCCCCACAGGGGACTCAAAGCAACTTACAACAGATAAAACAACAGATTTAAAAGTACTATATAAATATCATATTTTTTATTAAAAAAAATTAAACATCTAGTATATTAAGAATAAAATCAAGTTTAAAAAGAACTCAAAAACATTTAAAAGCCCGAAAGTTAGAAATCAGCATTCTTGAGATAACTTACTGCATAAAAGCCTGCCTGAAAAGAAAGGTCTCTGCCTGATGATGTAAGGACAAGGGGGGGGGGAAACTTACCTCTCAGGGCAGAGCATTCCAAAGCCTTGGAGCAGCCCCTCTCTCATGTCCTGACCAAACAAGCTTGGGAAGGTGGTGGAACCAAGAGAAGGGATTCTCCGGAAGATCTTAAAAGCCAAGAAGACTCATATTGGGGGGGAGGGGGAGAGGATATGATCCTTCAAATAGACTGGACCTAAGCCTTATAGGACTTTATAGGTAATACTCAGCACCTAAGGCCACAATCCTCCAAGGCTTTTTGCATAACGTGGACATTGTGACCTTTTGCTTTTTGTGGCAGGAGAGGTCAGACAGCCAGACAAAAACCTGAACTTTTTCAAGAAAATTAAAGGTGTCTGAGCAAGACAGATCCTGAAAGTCCCAAAGTAATATTACACTCCATACATTGTGCACAATGTCTGTGCAAAAAAGGTGTATTTTCACTTTGCAAATCAAAGCACATGCACGCACATCCAAATACACACTAGGGTGGGTACAGATCAGTATTTTTTTAAAATCAAATTCATTCAAATCATGATTTAAATCACAAAAATCTGATTTAAAAAAAATTTAAAATGGGATTTAAATCGAATCCACCCTGAGACACACACATTCACAGCAAGCACAGGACAGGTGATTGACTAAAAAGCATGCACACAAGCCACACAGGACTTCCCACTTTTAAAAGGGCATACCAGAATGCAGAAGCTATCCTCCTTTGCTGCAACTGCCATACAATCATTCTTGCAGAAGTTAGAACTCCTACTGAGGGCCTCAGAGGGTGAGGTATTGATTCCATACAGTGGGGTCTTGACTTAAGAACGGCTCGAGTTAAGAACATTTTGACTTAAGAACCACTCTCATAGGAAAATATTGACTTGACTTACATACTTAGATTTGAGTTAAGAACTGAAAAAAACCACGTGGGAGGCAGGGAAAGTGCAAAATTTGCGAGGTGTTGATTCCATATCTAGAAGTAATGCCCGTTTGAGAGGAAAAGGCTTTCTGTTCCTTTAAAAGCTGGCCTTAAAATGTATTTGGCAAATTAACCTGCTTTTGTTTTGCAGGTGATTTGAGTTAAGAACTGAAAAAAACCACGTGGGAGGCAGGGAAAGTGCAAAATTTGAACTTTCAGTTAACTGTTGGCCAGTGAAAAGGGTGCCTGTCTGCTTCCTCACTCCTCCCAGTGTTTAGAGAGTGGATTGGGAGACAGTCTTTGGACTGCCTGGTACTGTACTGCCTGGACTGTATTTTCCCTGCCTTCCCTGAACCTTTTTTGACCTAAGAAAAAAAGAAACAAAATATCCCCCTCTAGTGGTCGAAGGCAGAATAGCAGCTTCCCATTAGTTTCTATGGACAGAAAAGAGCAGATACGGATCAAATGGTTTTCAATGCATTCCTATGGGAAATGCAGATTTGACCTGAGAACTTTTTGACTTGAGAACCGCCTTCCAATACGGATTAAGTTCTCAAGACCCCACTGTATCTAGAAGTAATGCCCCTTTGAGAGGAAAAGGCTTTCTGTTCCTTTAAAAGCTGGCCTTAAAATGTATTTGGCAAATTAACCTGCTTTTGTTTTGCAGGTGGTCAACTGAGAGATAGTGCAGCTTTGTTCCAAAGATCTAAAGCATCTGAGCTGCCTAGAGAGGAATAAATGTTGCAAAAGAAAGAAATGCAACGTTGCCTTAATGAGTAATAAGACACTATATCCAGTGAGACAGTGATCCATTTCCTACAGGACATATTGTCTTATCACTCTGTTTCTTTCTTCATAAGAAAATTGGTGCTGCGGGGGGAATCAACGGGACAGGTCATCACACTCCCTGAGGACTTATCAAGACAGGAGACCCTGAAGTGGGGAGGAGTATAGATTCCTCCTAAGGTTTGCCTCAGCAAGATAGTTTTCACCAGTCTCCACATAAACACTGAAAGATTTCTCTGCCTTGCAGTGTTTGGGATAAACAATCAAAACCTAAGAAGTTGAAAAAACTGTTAATGACAGCTATAAGAAGCCTTGCAAATAGCTGAGAATAAATCTTTTCAAACACAAGAATCCTAGTGCGTTCTACATATTAAAGCATTGCCAGGAGACATGAAGAAGAAATTCCCCATTTCCATAAAACTGCAATGGATAAGCTGAAAGCTCTTTTTCCTCTCCTGAGCATCTGTACAAAACCATTTTCAGATGCTGGATATGAGACCTTTCAGACTATTAGCCAGACTTTTATGACAATTTCTGGATTGGAACCTATCGCAAAAATTCCATGGAACACCATAAGAATGTGTGCTCTCTTAAGTCACAATTTGGATAATTCAGAGAGTTGACAGAATGACATTTTCTGTTTCGATGGCCAACTCCACTGGCAGACTGGCATTCTGTCACATTTTAAAGTATGGGCAAACAGCATGGTGCCTTTCAGATGCTCTGGTTTACAACTCTCATAATCACTGTTCTTCAGCCATACATACTGAGGCTGATGCAAGTTGTAGTTAAAACAAATATGGAGGGCCTACGTATAGGTTAGAGAACTGGAAAGATTAATAATAGTACTACTAAAAACATTAGGCACAGGAAATAATTTATTTTCTTTGTACTCTTTGGTCAATAATCCTATTGTGGCCTGGAGCTATACATAATTATATAGCAAATGGCATGTCTTTAAGGCCCAATAACTTGGGCAAAGTGTCATCTGCTCATTTACTAACCTGCTTTTGTCTGTTCCCCTTCAATCACAACTACAAAATGAAAACAACTACTGTACTACAAACTTGAAAAACTACATTAAGTCAGCTTTTGCAAAATATGTGTCCATTGTACTGAATGCATAACAAGACCATGATTGGATCAAGTACGGTCTAAGGTCCCATGATGCAGCAACCTTGCTAAAGTTAAACAGCTTTAGAGCTCACCAGTATTAATCTGGGATACTCTAGAGTTGCTGGAATGATGGCTGTACATACAGTGGTGCCTCGCTTGACGACCTTAATTTGTTCCAGTGAAATTGCTGCAGAGTGAAAATGTCGTAAAGCGAAATAACAAAGCCCATTGAAAAGCATTGAAAACCGTTCAATGCATTCCAATGGGCTAAATAACTCACTGTCCAGCGAAGATCCTCCATACGGGCGGCCATTTTTGCTGCCTGTAAAGCAAGGAATCCGTCCAAAAACACAGCGGGGAGCCATTTTGAGCAGCCGGTGGCCATTTTGAAAACCCGATGATCAGCTGTTTTGATCATCGTAATGCAAAGAATCAGTTCCCGAAGCAGGGAACTGATCATCGTAAAGCGAAAAAAACCCATTAAAACAATTGCGATTGTAAAAACATCATCGTGAAGCAGATTCGTAGTTGTACGGGTAATCGTTAAGCGGGGCACGACTGTACATGATGGAAGGGAAGTGGACTATAAATGCATTAAACAAACAAATAATGGAAATTATCAGCACTCCATCCCTCTGTATAATAACCCCGGTCTAAGCTAAGTTTGGTGACAGCAAACAAACACATACAATTAAATGAATTATTGGACAATTGTTTGTTGGTATCTTTCTGAGTTCAGACCGGCTTTACTCAAGGTGCTTCTCTACTCCTGGCCTTTGATATCCTGTGAGCAGCATGGCCTGAAGCCACACTGATCCTAATAATTTTGCAAAGTATGGGATTTGTTACAATAAACAATAGCAACAAAAACAAAAAAGAGCAGGCAGACTGACCCGTCCAATAATAGATTAGGGGCAAACAAGAGCTTTCCCGGGTGTTCCATTGATCGCCATATTACGCCAATCATCAATATCTCTAACCAAGCACATTCCAGTAAATGGACCTGATCATGGAGTGATAAATCCGCAAATCCTGAAAGAGAAAAAGAAGAACATAAGTAGCAGTGTGCAAAGAAGAGACAGTGTGGCAGAGAGCCAGCATCTGAGACCAGATCAGCAACAGGTAGCCAGGGATATCACTAGGAAACCAGGAAGAGTTATGAGGCAAACTTAGGACTAATACATTTATTGTGCCATAATGTCAGTGGACACATAGGCCAACAACTTACTGTACATAGTGTCACACCCTGAGATGCATGGGGCACATGAAGTTTTGGAGGATCAGGAAACAAATCGCTTCTTTTCAACTCACCTTACTATTCCAGGATTATTGTGACAGAAAAAGGAGATAGACTTCTGGGTGCAAGCATAACCAGCTAAAATGAAAGCCAGAATTCAAATGTGGCAAAAAATAGTTTGGAAACTTAGCAAGAAGAGGTATTGGAAGTATTAGAAAAAGGTAGGGAAATGCATTGAGAAACTCAATTATAAAGAAACTCAATAAATAATGGCCTGTTATAGAATATTAATAAAGTTATGTAAAATGTATAATGGCAAATTGACAAATTTTTGCTTTTCTGTGCCTTAAAAGCTAAGAATACACTTTTTTATGTTGCAAGAAATAAAACTTTGGCTTCAGTTAATAAACCACCCATTTGGAAACACTATGCATCATAAATCATGTTATGACTCTCCCTGTCAGTAGGGCCATATGAGGACTCGATGCCTGTGTCTTAGCATGGCAAAGGAAAAATTGTGCTTCTAACTTATTTTTGATGCATGATCATTTCAGCACCTAAAACTCAACCTTCTTTCATGTGTATGAGAAAATTAAATCTCTTGGGGGGGGGCGGCACACTGACTGTTCATTAATAAGGGAGCATTTTAGTTGGAACGAAGGAATATAAAATTCAGAGGCTGAAATCCTGTTGCATAGTACAGTAAGTAGCAAGTACAGTAGGCATGTTGAATCAATGGTGAGTCAAGTCCTCCATAAATGGCACTGATTCAATGGGTCTAGTCTAGGTGTAAGTTACTATGCTAAGCAACATGGTTTCACTCAGAGGGGAATAAACAGTCCCCACTCATGTCAGAACAAAAGGGTTCTGGAATGGTTGTTGTGGGTTTTTCGGGCTCTTTGGCCGTGTTCTGAAGTGACTTGGGACATCTTCTGTTATACAAAATGTTCTGGTTGCAGTTATTCCAGTATATTTAAATCAGTACATATTATGATATCAAGCACTACCAGTCTGTTTCGGCACCAGTGTGCTGTCTTGGGCCTAAATCCAATGGGCAGCCATCTACTGATAGAAATGTTTCAATTAACAGGATCAGGAATGGATTCTCCCTCTTACAGACATCTCTTTGTACAGTCCAAACATCTGTTTCAGAGGGATGAGAAACTTTCTGGAGCCAGCTTTCATGCAGCATCACTCATGGCAGTGTGAGGGAAGAACCTTTGACATTGGATTTAATATCTGAGGGGCTTACAAATTTGTCAAGTTTAATCTTGATGAGGTTCTCTTTTTTCAGAAATGCATTTCTACTTGGTTCTACTTCAGACTGAGAGCAACTCCCTCCCTGACATATACATTTTTGTGCATATTTTGCAAATTGTGCATCTTCTTCTTGCATCTTAACATTTCACATTTCTCCCATTAACATTTCTCTCATTGTTTAAAGCCTATTTGTGCACATTTTTCAGGAAAAAGAAATTTCAGTGCACTTTTTGTTCTGTACATGGCTGAACACTGTATTGGTTTCTCAGTACAAACTGCCACTGGGCCTGTGTTCAAGTCTCAGATGCATACATTCATTCATCTCAAATTAAAAAGCAAACCTAACAAATCTGACACCTGCCTAGGATGTCCTGGTTTCAAGTGTAATGACATGATACCAGTTAGAAAATGAAAGCTTTTTTTTTACACTAGTAAAATTTATGATTAAAAATCATAGTGGCTGATTCTCTTCCGCATCCCTTCCCCCAAGTGGCAGTACTTCAACTTGCTAGCTTAAGGGGAGACCACAGAAAACATGACTGGCTAACCCAAGTATTTGGGCAGCTGCTCAATGAGATCTGTCCCTGTCTATAGACCCCACTATCACTGCGGCTTTCGTCAGCTTACCTCTTTCTAGATCTAAAGAATCTGTCGGCCTGTTGCATGCCATGTTTACTGACATTTCTGACCCTGTGTTGTTTTTAAGCAGGAATACCAGTAGCAACTAAAGAGATAGCTCAACGATTACCAGAAAATTGTGTTATCAATATCAAGTGAGACACTGCAACCTTCTGCAGCCGTATCATGTGAAGATCTGTTTGAGGCCCGAGTCAACTTATTTCAACTGTTCAACTCACCCTAGCTTTCCTTTTCAATAGTCAGTTTTTCTTGCAGATTTGGTTATCTGTTCTGGGGATGTGCATTCACTATTTAAGGGTATTTTCTCTGTGTGAATATTTGGGAGTGGGACTATTAGGGTCATGCTTGTGTTCAATGCCAGCTTATTTTCATTTCTCTTTTCACGTTTATGGATAATTTTGACTTCTATGAGGAGAAACTGCTTCTCCATGTGCACCTATAAATGAGCTCTCCAAACTATGTGATGAAGGGCATTGCTCTTTTCATCTCATCTGTATATGGAATTCCCTTTTCCTTTCCAGTTACTCTATTCCTCCACCAGCCCCGCCAAACTGGCTGTTATTCCAGACACAACCATTAGTCAATAATGCACACTACTGAGAATATACAGGGCCTCCCTTTAGGGTATTTTATCTGAATATATCTGCAGCATCTATAAACCTTGGATTTATCTCATGTTTGATGGTATCTTCCCCTACTGTGATTGTTTTCCTATAGGTCTAGAAAGAGAGGGTTGCTTGTATTAAAAATAAAAGAAATAATGTGGGAGATTGTAGTTAAAAAAATTGAATTAGTTTCCTGATCCTGAGAAGATGGTGGGTTTTATTGACCATTCATTAATTTTCCTATGAAGAATAATCCTGCAATATTTTAACAGCATTTACTTTGGGAGCATGTTGGGGTCATTTTTACCTGAAAGGTAGCAAGTCAGTGTTGAGTTTTAGTGTGCTTATGGGGGAAGAAGTAGATAACATCCTCTTCATCTAGTTACAGAACTTGACAAGTCCAACCCTTGATGATCATACATAAGATAAAACTCAAACTATGTCTGAATCAGGAACTAGCCAAATCAATGGTGTTCCCTCAACTCAGTTTAACATGAACTTGAGTTATATCCATTGTATCTGAAAATTGTGCTTAATGGAAGTTTATGTAGAAACTTGTAACAGATTGATCCGAGCTTGTAGTTTTGCAACCAATTGCTCACGTTCCATGCTCTACGATTGATTTCTTCTGATTAGGAACTGGATGTTCAAGACCTAAGTACTGGATGTTCAGATTAAATCTGAAAACTATATGTTCTGTTTGGAACTGGAAATGATCTGTTCCCAGGCTTGGAACTGGGTGGGAACTGTTCCTTCTATTGGAGTTGAGAAGAGAACTGCCCAGCTGATTATTTAGAGCTAGTAATTGTACAAAATATTGTTTTAGCATATATCAAGCCTTGATAGGTATGGTATATTGCTCTTCCTCTTTCCGTTTTCAAGATGCATTGCATTTCTTAATGCAACATGCCTGGATAAAACTTTGTGAATAAATAATGAATATCAGAAACAGAAAAAACTTGAAGTGACTAAGAAGTCACCAAGGAGTACTCTGTTCAAAGTACACAAATTACCAGTGCCCGACTGATTAAAACAAAGTGAATAGAAATATAAGTACAATTCTTGGATAAGAGGCAGCCTAGGACCACAATTGATTCAAATCTGAGATAATGGAACATATGGTAAAAGGACATGAGAACAGGAGTAAACAACATCATACTTAGAGGTCTGCGAGGAAAGATGGATAATATCTTAATTGGAGGTTTTGAATAACTTTTCCTCTCTATATTTGTATTAGATATTCATAAGAAGATTCTTATAAAGATGCAGAGAAAGAAGTGGTTAGATAGGAAAAGCTAAATAAATATTATTCATGTTCTCCATCACCCCACCAAATGGTATCAATGTGGACTAAATCAGAATGAAATCCACTCCTTCCCCAATAATTCTTTAAAAAAAAAACCAAATTGTTTTAAAAACCTAAAATAATTGCAGGAAACTGGATAAAATCTCCTATAATTCACGTTCTTTTGAAATTACTGAAACAGAAAATCTTCTGGCTAGGCAGAATAGCAAACACTAAAATAAAAGCACTAGCCATAGTTCTCTTCCTGTTTAAAATTATTTCTATTTCAGTTGCAGCACAGACAGACTTGAAACTGTGGCAAAATGTGCTCTGTGCTTTCGAATGGAAAGAAAACCTCACTGGGCAGCAAAATTTGCTTTGCTAGGAAGAAACTGAATAGTTTCCAAAATATAAAAGTGAATATTTTTCCTTAGAGCTTCACAAATTTAAAGACGTCTTTCTCAAAATAAAAACAGACTATTCAGAAAAGAGGCCTAGTGCATTCTTAGGGGACAGGATCTGTCAGCCCACCTGCTGGAACGATTGCCATAAATTGGCTGGAACCAACGGTATGCTTCACAAGTGGACCTCTTTGTCCGTTAATCAGGCGGCACCAGCAGGCTGAACAAGGACGGCTGGCACTGATGAGTCTCTCCAGCAACCAGTGTTGCTATGAAAAGGCATTTATCTCATTCCTTGCTCAAGGGCCAGATTTCGGGCATTCCACAATTATGGTTACATTTCCAGTTTTAGTCCAGGCTATCAAAAACTGAATCAAATCCCCAACATCTACAGAGAAAAAGGCCAGCTTACATAACAGCAGCTTTTCTCCAGTCATGTTTTCCCTTCCCTTTCCAAACAGTTTAATAAACTGTACAAAACAGCTTCACTATCTTTCCAAATGCAAGCATCACTCTGATGGATTATAAATTTGCACTATTTGTTTAGCTCAGTGAGAGTTCATTTTGTTGTTGCTTAGTCATTAGGTCATGTCCGACTCTTCACG